ATTGATTAGAGAATTGTTATATGATATTGAATTAAATTGAAACATTAATTGAGATAATTATGAATCTAAATACTCACTCGCTATAATATAATTTATATTGATTAGTTTATAATTGATTAGAGAATTGTTACATGATAATGAATTAAATTGATTGATTTTCAATAATTATGAATCTAAATACTCACCAGCTAATATAATTTATATAGATTAGTTTATAATTGATTAGAGAATTATTATATGATCGAAACATAATATTGAATCTAAATACTTACAGTCTGTAATATTAATTGAATTGGTTTATAATGATTAAAGAATTGTTATATGATATTGAATTAAATTGAATTAAATTGATTTCAATAATTATGAATTTAAATACTTACTTGCTGTAATATAATTTATATTGATTGTTTATAATTGATTAGAGAATTGTTATAAATATTGAAACATTGATTTTAATAATAATAAATCTGAATACTCACTCCCTGTAATATAATTTATATTGATAAGTTCATAATTGATTAGAATTGTTATATGAACTTTAATTAAATTGAAACATTGATTTTAATTATGAATCTAAATACTCACTCACTGTAATATAATTTATATTGATTAGTTTATAATTGATCAGGAATAGTTATATGATATTGAATTAAATTGATTTTAATAATAGAGCAACATTATTTAGTATTAAATTAATCAAAATGCTTACTCACTGTAACATAAAGTGTACATGAATATTTGATAGATGATTAGTTAAATTTCATTTGACATTTAATTAATGAAACTTTAATTCTGATAATTACGAATCAAAATACTTACTCACTATCAATTAAATGAGCGTGCAATTGAATAGTTTATTTTAAATTTAATTAGCTTGAAATTTTGGTTTTAATGATTAATTAAAAAATGAAGTGTTATTTAATGTTAAATCATCATGAAATCTTGTTGAAAATCTAAATACTTACTCTCTGAAATAAAATGTACATATAATTTATTGAATAATAAATATTATTTGAATTAATTGAGAAGTGCCATTTAATGATTAATTAGATTGAAACTTTGATTTCAATGAATATAAATCCAAATACTTACTCCCTAAAATATTATATGAATAATGTGATTAATATGAATTAATAATAAATTAAAAAAATATTTAATAAGCTTAACTTTGATATCAATAATTATGATCAAGATACTTACTCCCTGAATATAATGTGCATGTGCATATGCAAGAAATATTATTTTAATTAATTAATGAAATATTATTTGACATTTAATTAACTTAGGAATTCGCATTCATAAAATGATTACAAATTAAAGTACTCACGGTCTTGGTCTTAATAAAATAAGCATGTAATTGATTTGAAAATGATTAAGTGTGAATGGACATGAAATTTTGATTTCAATAATTAAATTACTCACTCTATTGATCCTATTGATTCAACAATTGTTTTGACATGTTCAAGATCTTGTATAACTTTCTCAATAACTGGACGCTGATCTGGGTCTTGTTTCCAACAATCTATTGAATCAAGTAATTGAAATAAATAATTTATAATATATTAATTGAATTTACATTTTAAAAACAAACCTTGGTAGATCATAACATAATTTAGCTGTGTTCCTTAAATTGGTCTTTCTCTATTTCCCTTAATAATATAAGAAACTAAATTTAATTCATCATTTGCTTCTTTCGCTTTTAATTCTTTTGTATTTTTTTCATTAAGTAATTCATATTTATGTGAACCATATGGAATTTTTCCACTTGAGATTTCCCACAGTAAAATTCCAACACTATATATATCAGATGCTTTAGTTCTGCTAAATTTTCCTTCTGCTTTAAGAAGCATTGGATCTGAGTATTCAATTAATCCCAAAGAATTCAATAAATCTATTGAAGATTTAATAACAAGTTTGGATATACCAAAATTACTAATCTTAATAGCATCATTATGGATAAGAATATTCTCCGAATTCTATAAAACAAAATTATATTAGTATTAGAAAAAAATGAATTTTCATTATAAAAAATTCAAATTTAAATAATTACCATATCTCCATGAATGATATCAAATGAATGAAAATGTTTAATTGCTTTAGCAAGTTTGTTGTGCAAGTGATAACTTGTTGCGCCATTCAAGTTTTCTAAAATTGGATTTCAGATAATTACGTAGTGTTTCGCCATTTGAATATTCTAGTATAAGTATATAATTGCTACTGTTAAAATTTGTATCTAAATATATATAAATATTCAATTTAACGTATATTTCGTTAAAAAAAACTATTTATTAATTAATTTAATTTTTATCTTTTTGTGAAATTCCATAGAATTCTATGATATTTTCATGTATACTGACATTTAAATGTTTTTTAAGCTGAAAATGAAATAAAATGTAAAATATTCAATTTATAATAAATTTAGATTTTTAATATATTAATTAGACGATATTTACCTCATTAACAAATAATTCCATAGAATTAACAACGATAGATTTTAAAGTCACTTTCATTTTACCGTGTAGCATTGTGAATGCTTTCACCAATTTCTTCAAGATTTTCAAAAACATCATGTCCATATATTTTTTTAAGTTCATTATTGAGCCATTCTTGGTCGTAAGATTCTCCAGAATTTCCTATAACTGAAAAGATAAATGATAATAACAAAATATTAAATCATATTTCTATATAGTCAATAAATAATTAATGCTAGAATAAAGTGAATTATATTTATCAATATCAAAGAAATACCTGCAATTTCTAAATTTTCTAGGCTGATCGAAGTTCCGAAAGAAAATTTATTATTTGATTCAATTGAAATTATTGATATAGAATCTCTATTGTAAGATTTCATAGGTTTAAATTTATTTAATTGATTATTAGCATAAACCTCCACCTGGATATATTGATTATTTTTGTTAGAATTATGATATATGTTTTCGAATCGAATATTTTCAAGAGAATCGCAAATATTTTCTATGGTTGGTCTTTGCTTTGGATTGTCTTTCCATTCATTTGAATAAATATTGATGTAATCCTCTGATGTTCAATTGATGGGTGCTTCTCTTAAACCGGATTTAACCATTTCTAATATTTCGAAATCGTCTTTATTATTAAATGGAGGTCTTCCACTTGAAAGCTCCCAAAACAGAACCCCCAAACTATAAATATCAGAAGCTTTACTTCTTTTATACATTATATAATTTCGTATATATCCGGGATCTGAGTACGCATATATTCCTCCTGCTAAAGAATTAGAATTGGTATCTAAAGGCTGAGATAAGCCCAGTTCTGTAATCTATAATCTACCTTCATGAACTAAAACATTCTTTGAATGCTATTAAAAAAAATAAATTTAGGTATGTTAAATTATATAATTATAAATTTACAAAATCATCTTATATCTAATATATACTTACTAAATCTCGAACAATATTTGCTTTATGCATATAACATAAACCATTTGTTATATCTTGAGCCATTTTAATTTTAGTTTTCCAATCAAGATCTTTAAAGTTATTCGTAAGTAAGTTCTTAAATTACCATCTTTAGCATATTGTAACACTAGGTAGAATTTATTTGCTGAAAAATCTATAATCGAATGATAATATTTAATATTTCAATGTTATACAATATTCAATTAAATATAATATTAGAATACCAAAACATAAATTCAAAAATAATATATTTTACTTATACTGACTCCATAAAATTCAATAATATTTTTGTGGCGATTTTACTGCATTAATATTTTTGTAACTGATAATTTAAAAATAATTGTATTTAATTTCCTCTCAAAAATGCTCACAATTATTGTAAACAAAATATTTATCTACCTCATTCATAAATAGTTTATAAAAATTATTACTATTTTCATCATGCAAAAATTTTAATGCAACTTTTTTTCTAAATCTTTCGAATGAGCACTATTGACTGCACCAAATCCTCCCCTTGCAATTGCTTCAATATCTTCAAAATTATTATAATGAAATTTTTGAATCTTTCGATCTTCTGCAATTCGAGTCAAATCTTTGTTCGAGAAAGACATCTTTTTCGTATAAAGAGAGATTCACTACAAGATTATTTTCTAATATAGAAATTGATATATAAACTAGTGAGTTTATTTTCTCTTTCTCTTTATTTAAGTTTTTGATTTCTTAACTGACTCATTATCTGATATAAACAAGTCTTCTTCTTCTTCTCTATCTATAATTTTTATATATTTAGGTT